ATGCTGATTGTATTTAGAGCCCTTCTCCTATCTGCATCCCCCCCTTATTACCCCCACCTACTCATATACTCTATTTTATATAGTGTGGGTCCATCTGATGGAACCTGGTCAACCTACCAGGAGTTTCAGCCTTGAATGACACCGACTCTCCTGCTTCCAGCAGCCATCAGCTGCCAATAGTTCCTCCGGTAGGGTTGGGATTTCTTACTCACTTTCCCATGGCTATGCTGGGATTTTGTCTGGCTTGAACTAACATGGGTCTATGTGCATGTTGCCAGGTCATATGAATAGTTGCCCAGCTGCCTGGAAAACTCTTTTTCTTGTGGTCATCCACCTCCTCAGGTTCTTAAGATCTTTACACCCCTTCTTCCACAATGGTCTCTGAGCCCTGGTTTGATATAGGTGTTGTATTCAGTCTGTCGTCTCTTACTCTTTGCGCCGGCCAGTTGTGGGTCTCTGTGGTAATCATCATTTGCTGAGTTCCTTGTTTTATATTTTAAGTGAAAAAGTAAATCATGCCTTTCTCTCTGGCAGGGTTATGCTGGGGACTGAAGGCAGGTGGCCCAGAGGCATGCTCCTCAATGCAGGTGGCGATTTTAGACTGGCAAGGTGGTGGGGCAACAGTGGAGGAAGTGGAGGTGGCAGCGTGGCGCTCAGGGGCGGGTGACTGAAATGGAAGGAGGGGAAAGGCAGTTGAGAGGAGGCGGGGACACGGAGGTGTGCCTGGGGGCAGGGGGCGGGGACCTGGAGGCTATAGGCTCCCCTAGGACTCAGCCCGGACAGTCGCGCGGCCCCTCCGCAGACAGTCTGTGACTGTAGGTCCGCGTGTCCTCCCGCTGCGATCCTCCTCCCGCACCTGCAGCGCCTGTAGCTCCTACAGCCCGCACCTGCGCTGCACCTGCAAACACCTGCGCCCGCACCTGTGCTCGGCCCCAGCATGGCGGACCAAGAGCCGTTCGACACGAATATCAACACCCTGACCCGTTTCGTCATGGAGGAGGGCAGGAAGGCTCGTGGCACGGGCAAGATGACCCAGCTGCTGAACTCGCTCTGCACCGCGGTCGAAGCCATCTCCTCTGCTGTGCAGCAAGGCCGGCATCGCTCAGCTGTGAGTTAGGTCTTGGGCCACCGACTGCGTCCGTCCTGTCTGTCTGAGAGCCTGGGGATCTGCCAGGTGGCCGGGATATTTGTCTCTCTGGGCCTTTTGCTGGTAGTTGGTGATGTGCCCATCTGACACCTGAGGTCCTTGTCTTTTCAGAAGCTCTCTCCGCTGCACACAGGCCCTGCTACCCTTTTCTCTGGAGGGTAGAGGTGCCCATTTGGAGGCATGTCTCACAGGTGCACACCTGCCCTGGGCCGCCCCTGGCCCTAAGAACTCTGGTTGCAGCTCCTCCCAGCAATCTGGTGAAAGTGGGTGACTTACCATTAAGCGACGTCCACCTTGGCCTCATACAGGAAAATGCTAGCACAGGCACCTTCCTCTCCATTTCTTTTTGACCCCTTCATTCCCTTTGGAATGGGGGTCCCAAGTTCAGTTTCTGATCTGATATCTCTTTGACCCACACAAGCCTTGTTAGCAATATCCTACCACCCCCTCAGTCTGGAAGTGTCAATGCCCAGAGAAATAGCAGCTGTCCACACAGAACCCTAGGGGTTCCCTCCTTCTGGGGACAATTTCAGAGAAACCTTAGGAACATCAAAACCTCTCCCCATTTGCATTAATGGGGTATGTGCAGATCTCGCCCACTTAGTAAAATGTTCAGAGCATAGAGGTAGAATGCTTTGATGGAGCCAAGAAATACATCTCCATCCTCTGCACAGGAATCATTTGGGAATTTTGTTAAAATGCAGACTCTGCTTCAGTGGGGCTGGGGTGGAGTCTGAGATTCTGCCTTTCCTGGAAGTTCTCTTATGGTGGGTGATGTTTATGTTCTGGTCTTCAGACTGAGGTGAAGGGATATGGGATCTCAGGGATACCATGTGATGCTTTTTAGAAATACACAACAGCACTTGGGAGACAGAGGCAGGCGGATCTCTGTGAGTTCAAGTCCAGCCTGGTCTATATAGTAAGTTTCAGGCCACCTGGGGAGACCCTGTTTCAAAAAGAACCCCCCCCCCCAAAAAAAAAGAAATCACACAACAGCTTTGTTTTGTTCTGGTGTGAGCAAATATTTGATATGTAATTGGCCCTCACTGAAAGACACCTGGATTTTCAGATTATCTGTATGTTTTCCTAATATTTCCCAAACCTGTAAATAATGCACAACAGATATGTGAAGTTTGTAGCTGACTTGAAATGCTTTGCTACATTTGGGATGGGGATCTTTTTTTTTGAGACAGGGTCTCACTGTATAGCTCTGACTTGCCTGGAACTTGCATTGTAGAGCAGGCTGGCCTTGAACTCATAGAGATCCACCTGCCTCTACCTCTGAAGTGTTGGGATTATAAAGGCATACACCACCACATCTGGCACATTTCTACATTTTTTAAAAAGCTGCCCCAACAATGTGGCCTGGTTCTTTTTTTCTGGTAAGTTCTGGTTCCACAGTATGGTTTGGTTGAGATCATTCTTCAGACAGAAGCACATGGCCACATTTATTCTCAGATTTTCAGAGCCAGGATAAGCCTTGCTAGGAGGAAGCTAAGAATAGGTATGTCAAAGGTGATTGCTTCACTGTTTTGTCCTTGGCCCTATAGATTCTTCATTTCAGTCAGCACACTCAGGAACAGTCTGACTTCGGATTTAGTTTAGAGCTCACAGCTTTGACTCTCTGAGGGGCAGGGAGCTTTGTAAGAGACAGAACTTGACATTTCTCACATGATTTTAAGAACACATCAGTACTTGTCACAACTCCAGAGAGACTCAGAAACCCACCATCTGCCTTGAGGTATCCTACCTTTTAACTAACCTCAGATAGTGGGATGGGGGCAAATGGTGCAAGTTTTGGCCATAGAAGAAGTGTGTATTAATAGACTAGATGGTTGTGACACTAGTTTTAAAAATGCTATTGTTAGACTCCTTAGTTGCACTCATTGACAAAAACACCACACCTTTCAAAAGATGCAAAGGACAAAGTGAAACTATGCCAGTTCCCTGGGGTAGCCATTAATAGTTTCTTGCTATTTTCTCAGATACTGCCTTATGCTCATATAAACTTCTGAATGAACACATATCTATCTACATAGTCCTGTGTAGCTAGAAAACAAAATGGGGTCATACCTAACATACTTTTCTACTGTTAGCTCTATATTCCAATTATATAATGAATAACTTTTGTAGGGGGGTGTAATACACATCTACCACCTTCTTTTAAACTGTGGCACAGATGTAGCATGAGTTATGGAATTCTTCTACAATTTGAGAATATTTAAGTTTTTGCTACTCTGGTTACTACAGTGTTGCAGCAGGTGTTGATGCCTGATTACATAGGTAGCTGATGGGCAGGACCGGAAGCTGGACTCTTAAGGACTCTTATGGGAAAGGAGGAGTGTGACTGTTTCCAGTATGACGTGTAGTCAGGCCACTATCAGTCAGATACAGTCTCAAGCCAGGCTCCCAAATTATGCTCCTTATGGGCTTTGATATGTTGGGTGAAGAGTCAGGGTGACTACGAAGAACTTATTAGTACTACAGATCGGCCCTAGAAGACCATGTAGCCAGAAGGATGAGATGGTTGCAGATCGGCATGAACCTCACCAGGATTGGTTTCTGGAGCTCAGCATACCATCTAAAGGGAATTATCAGGAGTGTGAGCATGGAGCATGCTGCCCCTCTGTCTCAGTCAATATATAGTTGCCACTGTAGTCATTTCCATTGCTCCTATGAAATAATATAGTATTTGTCCACATTTTGAGGCAAGGACTCATGTAGCCCAGGCTAACCTGAAATTTTCTATGAACTCTTGCTTCTCCTGCCTTTACCTCCCATGTGCTGGTGTTATAGGTGTGTACACCATGCTGTTGTATTTTAATGTGCCTTAAGAATTACACCCCAAGAAACCATTGCCTTTCAACAAATGTGTCCTTGGAACCTCATCTATTATCTTTTGCTCCCTTCCACCCACTCAGCAGAGGGAGCATGCAGGGGGAGCCAGCCTGCTGTTCTTCATGGGAACAGTGAGTGAAGTAAGTCCAGCTGGAGAACTCATGGTAAATGTCAAAGTCAAATGTAATCCTACTTCTTTGCTGTTCTTCCTTTGGCAAAAAGTGGTCTTCCTGTAGTTTAATCTTCATGGTTTTGTGGAGTTGATGAAGGGTTGACTTTCTCTGTATTGTACACACTCCAAGTCACTACCTGAAAAGTTTACTGGGTTTATTTCATTTAACACACTGGTAGCAAACACCCACTGTATCAAAAGTACTAGAAGAAACCAAGAGATGGAACAATAGAGAGTTTACCCTGTAGGAAAATACAAGACAGTGTAGAATTAGTTATAAAGCATTACAGAGGTTATAAAAGGTGCTTTCATGGAGGCGTCAGGATTATGATTCAGGTGCAAAGGATTGTGTGGCATCAGGTGGGCATTTGTAATGGGCAGGGTAAGGTGGTCACAGGGCCTGAGGGCTGTGGAGTGGCTCAGGCTAAGAGGTCACAGGACAAAGGATCCTGAGGTAGAAACGTTTCAGGTAAAGTTTCTCATTGAGTTTGACCAAAATATGGGGTACATGAGCTGGGCCACTTGTGGATGTGACATTGTGGGCACATTGGGGGTACATCCAATGGCAAAGGTGACAATTTTGCATTTTTGAAAGGTTATGTAGAAGGGAGAATAAAGGTTTTTGGAATTGAGACATGGTATGAGTGATCTGGGGAAGGGAAGGCTAAAAGCATGGATTGGAGAAGATTCTTGACAAACTGGTAGAAAAATGAAAGTGTGGCCAGAGCCACAGCAGTGCAGTAGGCAGGGGAAGGACCTGGCAGAGTGAAGCCCCAGTGTGGACTGGATTTGAAGGGTCACAAGGGGCATTCTCAAAGAGCCGTTCTAGCAGATGAGAGTGGAACCATGCCCTCAAGAAACCAAGCAAGGCAAAAGCAAAAGCAGAATTCCCCAGGAGCTGGCTTTCAGAGGCGGGGAAGAGCTAAAAAGATGATTCTGGAGTTTTGGAAGCATGGGCTTGGGCTACTATAGAGGTATGCAGTTGGACACATCCAGCATGTATTCTGATGGCCAATCTGTTTTCAAGCCACAGGATTTTGGCACATTGTCCTGAGGAAAGAGGAAGAGAAGAAAATCAGGACTGGATATAGCAGACCAGAGATACACAGCACTGAAGAGCCCATTCCGGAGAGAGGAACTAGGTTTAAATTTCTGGCTCTGCTATTTAATTTCTATGATGAGATTGGTGGATGGCAAAACATCTGTGAGCCTTAGTTTCCCCACTTGTAAGATAGGGACAGCTGCTTTTTCAAATTTAGAGAGTTGTGTGAGGGTCAAGGAACTTTTTAATCATGTACTGATGTCATCATTACTTTCCTGAAGAATTTTGAATTTTTTTGTAAAGTGCTTTCTTTGTGTTTTGCTTTCATTCTATTTAGAAGCAACCCACATGCATATCAGGCTATAACATCCCCTGTTAACATAATCCTGCACCCCAGAGTGGTTATATGTGCATGTGTATGTATATGCATGTGTGTGTGGTGGGGGTGCACATGTACATGTTGTATGCATACATGTGGAAGCCAAGGCTGTTGTTACTCAAGAGCTACCCACCTTGTTTTTTGAGACAAGTTCTCTCATTGGCCTGAAGCTTCCTGATTACTGGCTGGCCAGTGAGCTCTTGGGATCTGCTTATCTCCATCTTCCCAGCATTGGGGTTACAGTTGTGTGCTATCACACTTGGCTTTTAAAAAGCTGGGTTCTGAGGATTGAATGCAGGTCCCATGCTTGTATGGCAAACACTTTACCAACTGAGCTATCTCCCCAGTGTCCCAGAAAAGTTGCTTTTATATATGAGATTCTCTCCCATATTTGACAGAAGGAAATAATAAATTCAGTTTTAAGTTTGAAAGTGCACATCAGCTAATGTCTACTTAGGCTTGTCTTCACATTTGCAGAATTTATGACATGAAGCCATTGGGAATTGTGTCAGATTCCTGTTTTGCTTCTT